CTATATAGAATGAGAAACCAGCTGTGGTTATGTTCCCAGCTAAGGTTAACACATCATCATATGCGTGTTTCATTCATGTCTCATTACCCTTTACAAGTTTGTGCACCTTTTTGAACTTTTCAGAATCTTCATTCTTGCACACATTTATCTTTTTCTCTCAGCAATGTACGTTTCTATACAGATGGTCACATTAGGTGATATGAAACCTGATCCTGTACTAAGGCATGAGGATAATAGGAAGAAACCTTGGGAAAATGGACGGTATGTTGCACCATATAATTGATGCAGTGTAGTCAGTACGCCAATCTTGTCTATTTAGGTTATACTTAGCTTGTGTGCATCGTTGCAGGAACCACCACCCTGGTGCAATTTCTGGTCGTCAGCTTGGAGAAGCTGCGCATCGGTTGGTGGTTAATAGTATGCAGAAGAAAGAAGATAGGGGTGGACGTAGTGATTACAGGCGTGCATATAATGGTCAGGGGCATGATGACTATACGCATGCCAGACCAGCGTCCTATCCTGCTGCACGTGGTCCTCCCTTTCAAACCCATAGATACAATGTTCATGAGAACACACGGCCTAGTTTCAGCCATTCTGCTCGAGATGCTGGACGTCAACCCAGATCTTCAGGTTCCTCGACTGTACGGCATCACTACGACCATAGCTATAGCGAGTCTTATGTCCCTGCTGCTGTGGCTTCTTACAGTAGGTCTCACCCTCACCACGAGAGTGGTGGGCGACCTGTCACCCACAGCAGAGATTATCGTACTCGTGGACATCATACTGATGGAATGCAGCAAAATGGTGGATACAGTTATTCCTCGCATGCCAGTCATCCTCAGCATGTGGACCAAGTACCAGTTCCACCAACTGCTAATTTCCACCAGCAGAGTGGATATAGCACTTCTACGAGCTATGAACCTTACGGGGATGGAAACTATAACCAACGTGGTGGTGGATGGGCCCCTCAAACCAACCAAAATGTTAGAGGATATCATCATCCACATCCTTCAGGAAATCAGTTCTCAGCTTTAGGGAGGGGAGGAAGTAGAAGGCCACCTTCTTCAGGGCATAGTCGGTAGCGGGTTGTTTTTAGCCTGGACAATCTAGGCTAAGCTCGTTTGCTGCCATAGGATGCGACGGATCTTGCAAACGACTTCCTTACTTTCGGAAGCAGGTAGAAGAAAATAGTTGTTGCTTGTCAATGATAATTATCTGCAGGCCACTTTCTGGTTCTTGTCATAACGGTAATGTGGTAATAGTAGTTCTTTAGATCTGTTTTTTTTCATACTTTATTGTAACACAGATGTCATTGAGCTTCATATATTAGAGCAAACACATTGTATTATTTGAAAGATCAATCTTGGATGTATAAAGATGAAATCTCTCATCAAGTAGACTGCTTAATCAGTGTTCCGATCAGTGCTTTATTCAGGAAAACATTTTCTCCCTACCTCCCGCTTACTCTCACTCTCACTCTCACGGTCACAACCACAACTACTGCAGGTGTTTTCCTCCAGTGAAAGTACTGCATATTTTAGAACAAATTATGCGAGTAAGTCCTATTAATATTTACTTGTCATAGCCGACTTAGTCCCCTTTTCTCAAGCAAAAACTCAAAGGTCATGTGCCTACCATATTCACCAAGAGCTGCTCGATTGCTGTGTTAACTGTCATATGCCTAGATGGTTCATGTTCTTCCGTCGTTCTAACTTGTATGTATGCAAATAAGATTGCAGAGATGCAATCAAATGGAAAAACTTTTCTTAGATAACTACTGGAAAACCAGGTAATCAAAATGTATTCTATCTTTCTGTAACTAGTGAAATGACTATCAACCATCAATTTAACTTTTCTTCCGCCACAATTAAAATAACACACATGTTAGGTTAAACATCTTAAAACTCTTTTATCCAATCAAACACGTTAGCTACATAAAATGAAAAAGCGGAAGTAATATTATTAACCATATTGGAAAAGGTACTGACTAAGAGGCCGAATGAGAGAAGCAACCTCTAAGCACACTAATTAATTTGTTACATTTACAAGTGGTTTCAAGCATTTTCAAGATGACGTCTTTCTCATCCCTCAATCCTATGCCTATTACACGAATCAAAGCTGCTTTACCTTGGAATGTCTTACCCCCTCTTCTTAAATTAATTACACAGAGACAAGGAGCGAAGACTTTTGGGAGTGTGGCTATAAGGTCTCATGTGATCTCGTTATTAAAACTTATAATTAAATCTTAACTAAATAAATCAACAATAAGGTCGATATGTCCGAGTGGTTAAGGAGACACACTTGAAATCTGTTGGGCTTCGCCCGCGCAGGTTCGAACCCTGCTGTCGACGAATTAGTTTTTGACAATTTCTTTTATTCCTAATTTCTTGGTAAGAACTGTGTCCTCCTTTCTTAAGAACTTAGTGTAATCTTATAGTCTGTTTATGTTCATTATTAGAAAGCAAGAATAAGTAATGCTATTGGGTTATCGGTATCGGGTTATTGGGTAAATAGTTCGATAAAGGTTTAATGTTATTTGACTAGTGGGTTATCGGTTTGGGTCTCGGTTTGCCCAATTTTATTAACGGTTTTACCGATATCCCAATAAGCTTTATCAAAATTATAATTTTATCCACTAAGTATATAAAGTCACCTTACGGCTTCATTCTCTCAATTCTCTCGGTAGTTACTCTTCATCTTCTAATCTTAATCCTAAGAGTAAGTTTTAAACTTTTCTGAATTTCTCATATTAATTTTTCAATTAAGATTTTTTAGTTTTAAAATTTAGAGAATTAATTGTTCGTATTTTTAGTTTTTCTATTTGTTTCTTTTGTTGCACTGATTCTTTAGTATTTACAAGATTAGGATTTTATTATTTTCCTGTGAATTATGTCAGCCCGCAGTGAGATACTTAGTAAGATTAGATTGTTGAATGTCTTATCACTTACTCCTATTAACATATAACTTTGAAAATTGAGATCATTCATTGGGATTTTCAAATGCAAAGAAAGTTTTATTTTCTAAGTTGAAATTTAATCCCTCTTCTTTTAAGAGCAAAAATTCAATTCCTTTCTCTTAATAGTATGGTCGCGATTTCTATAATAAAAATATAAATTTTTTGGATAATTTTTATTCTTATCGGGTAAACCGATAATCGAACCGATAAGTATTGATAACCGACTAACCGACACCCGATAACCGATATCTTATCGATTCGGTTATTGGTTTAGTATATTTATAAACCGATAACCAATATGAAGAACCGATAATATTCACAACCGAACCGAACCGACCGATGCCCATCCCTAGTAATCACCACCACCTGCAAAGGACATTATCCCTAAACAAGAAACTACTGTGTGATGAACCAATAAGAGCTTGAACAACAAAATTAAGGAAAATCACAAGAGGGAAATTCATGTGACAAAATGGCCAGTATAACCATCATTTGAAGGTATGAGGAAGTATGAATCAAGGGTGTCAAATGAGCGGGTTGAGAACTTGCTCACGATCTTGCACAACTTGCTCACGTTCTTGCTATGCCAAGTCAGCCTTACTACACTCAAGATCGCTAAGAGAATGGAAGAATACAAGAGAATTGCCAAAGGAAGCTTTTGTATTATAGAGAACTTTATTATTTTGCTTGGTGAATTACAAATGAGTGGCTTCCTTTATATACTAGTCTCCTAGGGGCTAGTGTGTAAATATTAATTGTTACACAAGTCCTTAGTATTTACAAGATAAGGGATTTCTCTAGAACCCTCTCCAAACCTAGAAGATTCCGTGGACTTTCCTATAGGGATCTAGGATCTTCCTAAGGAAATGCCCATACTTCTCTAGAATCTTCTCACAAAGGCTAACCTTCCTCCTATGTAATCTTCCACATAGCATTAATATATGCCAAATGGAGCCTATGTAGCATGATGACATGGCGGGTCATCACACTCTCCCCCACCCAATATTGCGATGACTGCGGCGCAATGCTGCTGCATAAACTCTAGGATCTTATCTTTAAATTGCCACAAGTCTTTATATCGTTCCCACGCGGCCTCCTCCGGTGATTGCCCTTTCCAATGGACGAGGAACATAGCGACGGCTTTTTGCCCTTATTTTTGCCTGACCTAGTAATCTATGATAGCCTCAATCTCCCGATCATGCAAGGCGGTGATAGTCATTGGCGCTCGACTTAATTGGCCCCTACTCGGATCGTCCTTATCTTCATAATATGGCTTAAGCATGCTGGCATGGAAGATAGGGTAGATCTTAAGATACGATGGCATGTCAAGCTTGTATGAGATCTTGCTTACCTTGGCGACGATCTTAAATGGCCCCTCGCACTTGCGAATCAGATTCTGATGCATGCCCCGTAGTGCCTTGAACTGTCTTGGGTTAAACTTTACCATGACCATGTCCCCAACTCTTTTTTCTATGGGAAAATTTGGGGGAAAGACAAGTACTGATCATATATGAGGCAACAAGTGCAGAACATCTTGTGGGAAAACAAAAGAGAAAGATGCTGCAAAATGCATAACTGTCCCTGAAGAATGTACTGTCGTAGTACTCATATATATAATGCCCCAGGTGAAAAGATGAGAACTGTAGATGTTTGCTTCCTGTGAGATCAAAATTATTTTCTTATCTGACATGTATGTAACTGGTTTTACCGAAGGAAGTTGTGTTAACTTTTTGAGTTTGATGAAAAGCAAGCAGTGAGTACTGCTCGTGTTATTGAGTGTACTTAATGGCGTTGCATGCATATAGAGTGGAAAATGATGGTGCTTTTGCACTCCCTGTCTAGTGAAGGTGTGTCTGATTGAGAGATACATAACAACGGAATGGTGTGGAATGGAGCTTCCAATTTTGTGAATGGCAAAAATAAATTAGCTCGCTGATAAAGTATTTCGGGTGCAATGTTATGTTATGACATGCGACCTGCAATTTTTTGTTCCTTCTTTCAAGTAGGAAACTTGAGTTTTGTTGGATAATGGCTTTTGGAGATTTGCATCTAAAAAAGGATAGCACATAGTCATAGCAAGCAAAATACAGTTTTTTTTTCTTTTTTCATAAGGTAGCAAGGAAAATACAGTTTTTTGAGGAAACAACTTGGTGTTTCCCGGGCACTCTCCATGTTGCATGGTGTTAGCCTATGGAAAACTTTTCAAGAGACTATCTTGAAAGTGGGCAATGGAGGAAACAACAGGATTTGGATGGATTGGTTGATTGGCCACATTCCTTTGGGTGATGAAGGATTCATGGAGCTGTTTGATATTTGGTTTTTCTTATCTGGAATAAGCAACTGAACATGACATTGTTTATATCAATTGCATCATGTGTTAGATTTGAGATTTCAGAGAAATACAATGGTTGGATGATGGAAAGATTCAATTTTCTCTTGAGAGTGTTCAGTGGGACTGTTAATTTACGAAAATCATAATACGTCGGAATTACGCTGAACTTGGCAG